TACCCAGTGTAGTGCAGATTGCGCCCACCTTCAGCAAGCCATCTCTGGCCAATGGCAACATTGGCAATGGAGAGATACCGAATGCATCAACGACAACAGCATCAGCAGCCTCTTCCAAAGCAAAGTCCAACAAAAACGAAGACGTTCACCTGTGCTATGGAACACTGGACGGCAAGATCGCCCTGGTCACTTTCCGCTTTGTCGACAAGAACCAACTGGAGCCACTGCACAAATGGGAGGTGCCGGTGAATGCCATTAAACAACCGGTAACTTGTCTTGTCTTTGCAGAAACTGGCTCAGAGTTTTACGTCGGCCGCTCTGATGGTTCAGTTGAGGTGAGAGTTTTCATGTGTTTGTTTACTTTATTGTAAGTAAAAAACTGTTTCCATCTCTTTCAGATCTGGCGACTGAGCGAGTCCATCGACGAGGACAGCGTTCAGAGCGTCGATCTGAACGTCCCGCCGACTCTGCTGGAAGTGTACAGCTGCGGCGAGAGTGTGACCAATATTCTGCCGGNTTCAGATCTGGCGACTGAGCGAGTCCATCGACGAGGACAGCGTTCAGAGCGTCGATCTGAACGTCCCGCCGACTCTGCTGGAAGTGTACAGCTGCGGCGAGAGTGTGACCAATATTCTGCCGGTGACGGGCAAAGACGGCACCGCCGACAGCTGCGTCCTCCTCTGCTCCACTTTCACCGGGCTGATTTTTGGGCTGGTGAAACACGGCGAGGTGCTCACGCAGATGCGACAACTCAATCCCAACTACCTGATCATCAGCAAGGACAATGCCAACCGAATTGAGACGCTGAAGGAGGAGTGCGAAAAGCTGGAGAAGAAACTCGACATTGAACGGCAGAAGTACGAGAAGCACACCTCCAGTCAGGGCGTCAGTGAGTTCATGAAGGACACTAACCTCTCTGCGTTGCCCTTCTTCACCATCAACGATTCCTTTGTTCTTCACAATGGTAAGCAGTGGAGTATTTTTAGTCTTGATCCTTACTAATCTTTCCCATTTTTAGACGCCTCCTACGTGCTGATGCTTGAAGTGGAGGTAGCCATCGACGTCGTCTTCATTCACTGCGACATTGGCCTTGACCTGATCGACTGCGAGCGCAACTCTGCCGTCATCAGCTTCAACGATCCTCCTAATTTTGCCGAAGGAGGAGGAGGAGGAAGTGCAAGCAGTCCCGGTGAGATGCTGGCCACCTTTCGCTGTCAGGCCAACACCACCCGTCTGGAGATTCGCCTCCGGCCGGTGGAAGGCCAACACGGGACGCTGTCCGTGTACGTCGTCTCGCGGATCACCCCCAAGAGCTGTCTGACGCGTTCCTATGAGATACAGCCGCTGGCGTTGCACAAACGCCAGCACTCGAACACCAGCATCGAGTTTGCCAATTCGCTGGTAATGACGGGCGCTTTTGGCATCAACGACGCCCACACCTGGCTGCGCATGAACATTCCCGAAATACCGGAAAAGCTCTCGCTGAGCACGGAAGGCGTCGAATCGGAGGTTTTCTACTACACCTCCACGATGACGCGCTCCATACTGATCGTCAACTGCGGCCGCGGCACCATCAGCATCACCTCCGACAACGTCTCTACAGTGTCCATTCTCAAGGACTTTCTAACGCGGGAGGCCACCCGTCAGTCGATTCCCATTGAAATTTCGGTGTCAATCTCCGAACGCAGCATCGCCGTCATCCTCCGGCACCTTTATCCGAAGATCAAGCGTCTCATTCTGGAGAAGCAGCGACAGGACCTTTTTGAGGCGATCAGCGATCTGCAGAGCAGCGACGCAGACATTGCCAGTCAGCTGCTGGCCGATCTCAATCTCGAGGAGAAGGAAGCAGGAGAAAAGGAGGCAGAGGTGAAGAGGTCCGCCAAAAGCTCCTCTTCATCATCTTCAGGGCGACCGGAGTCCACCGAGGCGAATCGACAGGACGTGCTCATCGGCCTGGACCGCATCTACGGCATCATCACCGACCTCTTCATCGATTACCACAAGCTGAAGGGCACCTCGATGGCGAGCTTCCTCAAGGCGGCCAAGGAGAAGCTCGACGAGATGACCACGCTCATCGAGACTGCCGTCCTCGAGGCGGTCAACAGCAAATCGATGCCCCCGGAGTTGGCGGCCGTCCTCTCCGATGGCTGCAACATCAACTCTGCCTCTTCTGGGTCCCGGGGTCCCCTCCGAGCAAAGGACGAGAGCACCGCCTTTGCCGAGCGACTCTACCACTTTTGGGACATTCAACTGTAAAGGAGCTCAGCGGGGGTGAAGAGATTTTAATTCAAGACAGAGATTATTGAGGAAAGAAATTTGAGTAATTGAGTTTGCCAGTGGTGAAATCAATTTCGCATCAGCATCCTTTGTGTGGTGTAAAAGGAGGTATAAGTAAAGTGAAAAATCAGTTGGATGAAAAATATAAAAATTAAAACACAGAAGTGCACAAACTGTGTTGGCATTAGTCACATAGTATCACAAGAGAAGAGAAGAGAATAGATAAGATTATAAATCAAGGCGTGATGAGCAAAGTCAGTTAAGTTTCAGTTTCAATATAGTATCAGTATCAGTGGCCGACGCCCTTCTTCTTCTTCATCTGCTCAATCATCTGCTCCAGTTCTCTGATGCGGTCGTCCTTCTCCGCAATGAGCCTCTTCAGGTGTTCATTTTCCATTAATACTTCAGTCACGTAGGGCCGTGATGTGAAAGAGACAACGTCCGAGAAGGCTTCCTCTTCAACCGTTGTAATGGTGGTGGCGGTGGTAGTGGTCATCGTGGTCGTACCAGTGATGGCAGTGTCAGGGTCAATGGAGGTAGTAGTCAGCTCACTGGGCCATGGGTCATTCGGGTAGAGAAGCGAGTGCTTGAATAGAATTGATATTTCCGAAACTGACATTGGCCGAGCCTTGGCAGAGTGACTAGTGAGGCGGAATATCAAATCGCCTAGTTTGCGCCAGCGAGCAGTGAAGCTATCCGGCAGCTTCTTATTCTTTTTTAGCTCCTTCAAAAGTTCAATGCGCTCCATGTCGGTGAAGACGGGATAGAAGAGCTCAAAGAGAATGATGCCCAGGCTGTAAATGTCCACGCGATGGTCATAACTCACACGGCAAAACTCATCCCGCTGCTCAGGCGCCGCGTAGATAGCGGTGCCTAGATTCTTGGTGTGCGACTCGTCTAGCTGCTGCGAATCCTTCTGAATCACAGCAAGGCGCCGCTTCTCAGCGAGGAGTTCACTCGCCGCTGCACCCGCCGCCTCCTGCTGTTTGTGTCGGTGAACTGTGGCCAGACCAAAGTCGCCAATCTTCAGCCGCTTTCCGTCTAAGCTGAAGAGAATGTTATGAGGCTTAAGTAAAGTGAAAAATCAGTTGGATGAAAAATATAAAAATTAAAACACAGAAGTGCACAAACCTTCAGGTCGCGATGGATCATGTTCTGCGAGTGAATGTACTGAACGCCGTTGAGGATCTGCTCAAAATGATGGCTTTCCAGGGTGACGTCAACGTGGTCCAGGAGGTCACCGGAGGACAGGCAGCTACTGATGCGCGCATTCCGCTTGTCCAGGTACTGGCGCAAATTCATTCCGCACAGCTCCATTTGAATGTACAGGTGGGCACTAAAAGGTCGGTCAATTTGCATTAAATCGGATGAGTTGCAAAAGGTAACGTTCTTTGCAACGACACTCTTTTGGTAGTAAAACTCTTCAACGGTAATGTCTGTTTCCGCGTCCTCGTCATTATCATCTTTTTCAGAGCATTCACCATCGTTTTCATTGGAGCTTTCGTCGTCGTCGTTTTGGCTAGAACTGTTGTTGAGATGTTCAGCAACTGCCGATCTTCTAAAATTGACACTCAAAGCCGATACTTCAGTTCGTTGAGAAGCCTCAAATGTAATATAGTCGTCAGACTTGTCAGAGTTGTCTGCACTGCGATTGCATGGCGGGGAATCGGTGTACTTGGACGAATCACTGTTAAACTGATCATTTCCTCCATTTGTGTCTTCGTCGTCAGACTCGCTACTCTGTGAACTGAGGTTAGAGTTAGAGGACTTTTCTTCGGTGGAGGCACACTGAGAGTTCTCCTCATCCGCCTCCTCGTTCATGTCATCTTCGCTAAACAGCTCCTGAAAACGCGAATTGTGAAAGGTTTTGGACGATGAACGAGCCCGGCCGCCATGAGTAGATTTTCGTCTTTGAACATTCCAACTTTGAATCCAAGCCGTCTTGTAGGCTACTACGTTTGGGTGAGGTTCCAGATTAGCGTACAGTTTCACTTCTCGCATAATCTGCGAAAAGCTTTCTGAGTTTTTGTATTTTAATGAAATCTCCTTGACAGCATATAATGTGTCATCGAAACGGTGCCTAGCCTTCTTCACCACACCAAAACCTAGAAAATAATTAAGTTAATCAATATTGGAAACAAAATTGATCACAAATTGTAAATACCCCCTCTGGAAATGGTGTCGATCTCTTCAAACTCAATGATGTAACGATTGGTGTCCGACAGGCTACTATGATGTGAGTCGCTCAAGAAGTTCAAGTCCAGTCCGGGAAGAGGCAAATGGAAGTTTGTGGACCCGCTATTTATCTGACCGTTTGATCTCAATCGACATACTTCAGCATTAAACATTGATGAAATTTTGTCTCTCAAAGGAAGTAAACTTTCCTCTTTGTACGATTCACCAAGTACATTGAAATGAGACAGCGATTGACACAGACTGATGAACATCTTTCGACGTTTTTCGAAGTCCTTCTCGTGTAAACTGCAGATGTTCCATACTAATGCTTCAATAATCAACAAGGATGGAGCTTGCTTCTTCACTATAACAGCATTCGACTTTTTCTGGTTGCCGACTGAAATTGAGTTTGCTCTTTTGCGATACTTTGCGAGGTTTAAATCGCTTGAGTTGGAGTTGACAAGCGGATTTTCATCAAAAGCCGCATTTTCGTGCCCCTGATTGTGAGTTATGTTTTCGGTCCCCATATGCTGGTCGCCATGATTTACAATATCGTTGAGTGCAGTTTCATCATCGTTTGAAGTGCCGTTATCGGGTGCCTTTAACGGTGCCATCAAGTCAGATTGGGCTTTGCAGGGCTCAGAAGCAGAAATTTTGATTTCTTTCGCATCTTCACTACTATCAAAATTCAGAATAGGCCCAAGTTCAGGTAGGCGTTTGAGTTGTTCCTTAGAGATGCTTCTTTGTGGTAGTTGTAGCGGTTGTGGTGGTGGTGAATGGACGTTGGGGAGAGTAGTCAATGAGGATGAGTCCGTAGAGATGGAATTTTGGTGAGAGGGAGACGAGGGATCGCACATCCTTCACACTAGTGCAGAGAGGGCAGACATTACGAAAGAGGTAGAAGATGTGGATTGGGAGATATGTGCAGGGGTTTGACGATGTTCGCAGAGATCACTTCAAGTCCAGTTCAGTATCACATGTACAGTTTCAGAAAAAAACATTAGCGGTGGGCCATGCGCAAAGTCAGTGTTGTTTACGTTTTTCGTTTGAGCTAGACTTGATGTCTGATCAGTTTTCTGCAGTGATTTTATAAGCCTCATAGCTTCTCTGAGCTAGGTGTGCACTGAATCAAAATCATTCTGACATGAGCTGTAACTCGATGAGCTGAGGTAAGACTAGGTGACACTCAAGGTTGTATGACCTATTCAAATCGTTTGCTGTTTTCAGTGACTCGTTCAGCACGTGCAAACTGTCATCGACCTCACAGAACCACAATGAATATCAACAGTTTGCCAAATGAACTTTTGGTGAAAATATTCACCAAAATTGAGTCACTTGCACTAGTGTTTCGCCTGCAAATTATATGTCGAAAGTGGAAAAATGTCGCTGAGTTGACGTTGAGAGCTCAAAAGTCCCTGCGCGTTTGCTTTCGAGGAGTTGATCTCGCTCCATATGGAAGTTTGACATTTTTGAAAAATCGCTTTAACGCAAAAAATACTTTGTGGTTCGACGAAGATGGCCTGAATAGAGAAACCATCGAATATTTGGTTGAAAAAATGCCTCTTGTGGAAAGTTTTGACTTGTACAAAAGTCCGACGGAAATGGAAGATTTGATGTTCTTCCTTACCAGCTGGCAAGAGCAGTTGTCCCAACTGACTATAATATTCCCCATACACTTAGTGCTTATTGATTATGAAGTTCAAGACCAGGTGGTCATGATGATAGAGAGGTTTAACCTTCGACACCTCTACCTGCTCGGCGCTGAATTTGACACCGATTTCATGTTGCCTCATTTTAAACAACTGCGAACCATCTTTCACTGCGACTTTAACCGCAACGACAACTACAACTGGCATGCAGCTTTGCAAAGCGCTGGCGATCAAGTGGAAAGCATGCACTTTGTCAGTCCTTGGCTAAAGTCGAATAAACTTGACAGAGCTTTTCCTGCTCTGAAACAGCTTTCAATGAACGTTGTTTCGCTTGAAAATGTAAAGCACGTGTGCCACAACTTTCCCTCTTTGACTCATCTCGATCTCATACTGAACTCTGATTGCGAATTAATGAAGATGCTCCCCCATTTTAGTCGGTTGCCTAATTTGACCAATCTTCGATTAGCCACTCTCAATGAACTAGTCCCCCTAGGCTTCGAAATTCCAGTAGTATTTCCCTTTATCAAAATCACCACACGCAACTATCAGCGTCGTCTGGTGCAGTTGCCCAACGTCAAAAGACTGCACTTGAGCATTGAATTGAAGGTTACTCGCATGCGATTTCTCGACCACATTTTTCCCAATGTTGAGGAGATCACCTTTAATCGGCCCATCTTCAAGTGTGAGTGTCAGTTTACGGTCATAGGCGGCTGTGCTCGCTGTTCAGCTGCAATTTACCGCCATCTTATTGGATTCTCAAAGTTGCGCCGAGTCTACAGTGACGCCAATCTACTGTTCATCGTAGCTGACCCGCAGACTGACCCTGTCACTGTACTTAATCCACTCTTTTATCAGCTTCACGAGATAATAGTTCCCAATTTTTTTAGAGAATGATTGTAGATGTGATATCTCAGTTGACAATAAGTAGAGGCATGAAACAGTTAACGATTTCTTTTATTAAGTCAACACTTTTCTTGTACTACATGAACCAGTATTAAATGTTATCTCACGGCAAAACACATGAGCACTGCCAAACATAGCCAAACAATTTGAACAAACGTATAGGGATTAACTTTGCTAATCTTCTGATCCTAAAGTTCAACGGCAAATAGAAACACTTTGTTGGGAATACTAACAGGAAAAACACAGAAAACTCTCACCACCAGAGCAAACAAAACATGGAAGATGTATTCAATCAATCACTCTTCCGAGTGCTTCTTCAGCTTTCGAGCGCACGAGTTGAGAGTGTGAACATCATTGGACAGCTTGCTGATGAGTCGCTCCAGTTTGTTCACCGAATCGACGACATGCACTCGGTCGGTGAAGGGATCAAAGTAGACGTCAAAACGACGGGGCAACTTTTCGGCTACGTATTTGCTGGATTTGAAAATAAAGTCATAATTTAGTAGAAAGTAGTCATCATCCAATGTCCATAAAACTCACCGAAACTTCTCCTTGGCATCGTCGAAGCTTTCAGCGACGTAGTATATATCCTGGTAGTCCAGATCCTGGTACGGCTGAATGGCCGTCTTCTCCGGCTCAAAGTTGCGCAGCTCAGGCTTGTCGGAGAGTGAGTGCTTCAGCTCGCCAAAGGAGGAAAGCAGCCCGGCGCCGTAAGCGCGAATCTGGCCATTCTCCCGACACAAGCCAAACTCTACCGTGAACCAGTACAGCTGCACGGGAAGTGAGAGGTAGGGAGGGTATTGTCGAACAATCAGATACTCAGTACTCGATCTCTAATCAGTTCACTTTTTGTGTTTTGTTACCGTAGCAAACTTCTCCAGGTCTTCATCCGAGGCGCCCAGTGAAGCGAGTCCAATTTCCTGCGAAAAGTCAGCAAAGCCTGAAAGCAAACCAGGCGAATAAATTACTCGGAAGACTGGGAACACGCACTAGACTGAAAACAAACTTTCATCTGCCAGAATGGGAATGTGGCCCAGCAACTCGTGGATGGCATCACTGGAAAAATCAGGGTGAAATGGGAAGTTGAAGAAAACAAAAGATCATCTAGAAAAACTTGATTCTTACGGTTCCGGGCTGTGATGCGGATTGGACGGGTGTCGCATGTACTGGGTGGTCTGAAAGACGCGAAAGGACAAACTGGCGAGAAAGTCCCGAGCCGTGAGCAGCCCAGCCGCTGGACGGATGGTGAATCCAGTACGCTCTGAGAAAGAGAACAGTTCAGGAGTCTGACGCCAGAAAGGTGTATGACATACTATGGCCACTTACTCTTGAGAAAGCGCGACACATCCTCGAGCNGCAGCCCAGCCGCTGGACGGATGGTGAATCCAGTACGCTCTGAGAAAGAGAACAGTTCAGGAGTCTGACGCCAGAAAGGTGTATGACAAACTATGGCCACTTACTCTTGAGAAAGCGCGACACATCCTCGAGCTGTGGAATGTTATTGGGCGCGTAGCCGCACTCCTTCTCGAGGACGGCAAAGACCTCTCGGTGTTTGGCGCAGGCATGCGTCGGAAAGAGCTTCACCAGCTCGCGGTACACCGTGCCCCAGACTTCAATTTCAGAGGCGGTGTAGTTGACGCGAGGAATGACGTCGCCGCTGTTAAAAAATGAGTTTTAATGATCACTGGTGCTAATCAGCAAGAAATACGTACTATCGGTACTCGAACGCTATGTTGGCAATCTCCATTCGACGTGCTCGGTAGACCTTGTCAGAGAATCCCTGAATGATGGTTCGAAGGGAGATTATTGAAATGCCTTCAACATCTGTAGCTCTCTACTCACCGGATGATCGGCGTCCAGTTCAGGCTCATACTTGGTCATCAGATGAGTGCAAAAGTCCAGATCGCTGATGTGTCGGGGAAACCAAGGGTCTTTTTGTGGGAATTGGTTCAATTACTCTGCATCTTACCACCTTACCTCAGGCCACCTTACCTCTGACGCTGATGAGCTTCTCCCTGAGGATGCTAATTTCGCCCAGATTGCCCTGTCGAATCGCTCGCATCAAACTGAGCAGACTCTGACTGGCGATCATCAGCGAGAGAAAGATGTCAAAACGGCCCTTGTCCGACTCATTTCGACGACTTTCCACGTGCTCGATGACGCCTTTCGAAGCCTGCACCAGCTTGAGCACCCGGGGCAGATCGGCGAGGCCACCCTCCTTGAGGGTGATCAGCAGACTGCTCTTCTTCAGACTGGTGTAGTCATTGTCCTCTTTGCTCTCATTGACGACGATCACCTGCGGGCAGGGCGAAGAGCGACACAACTTGGCAGCTGTTAGGTCTTTCACACTAAGCACAGTGATTAGACGCAAGTGCAAACTTTACCTCCTCCTCAGAGAGATCAAAGTCCTGCGATGAGGAGCGACTCTCCTGCAGCCAGCTAAGCTTCGCCTCTCGATTCTTGACTGTCTCAAACTTGGCGTCGCCCACCAGAGAGCGTCTTCGATTTGGGTAGCCATGCTGACATGGGGACAGAAAAAAATGAGATGAGTTTTTTGGTCAATCAGTATGTACTGAATNAGAGCGTCTTCGATTCGGGTAGCCATGCTGACATGGGGACAGAAAAAAATGAGATGAGTTTTTTTGGTCAATCAGTATGTACTGAACTTGGTATTTGGTAAATATTTACAACAACTTTGTATTTGTACTCGTAGATGTGCATCAACTGGAACATAATGAGTGAAGCCTATCAAGCACTGGAAACTCATAAAGATCAGTGCAAATGAACAAACGTCAAGTGCTGGTTGCTTGTTCGTCTGTCTGGGTCAGTGTCAGTGAGACACATCTTTGAGCTTCTGCAACCGACAGTCGCTGATTTATTAGCCTGCTCTGCCTTTTACGACGTCAACTGTTTCACTAGGTCTGATTGTGTGTGTGTGCCACCATCATTTTCACATTGGCCGTCATTCTCTCTCTCTCTCTCTCTCTCNTCTCTCTCTCTCTCTCTCTCTCTCTCTCTCTCTCTCTCTCTCTCTCTCTCTCTCTCTCTCTGGTGACCTCATCTCCGACTAACAGTGACACTGAGCACTTCTATTTTTAATTTGCACCCACCATTCTTGCTCTTTCCCTTACTCTCCTTTTTCAACTTCCTTCCCATTCCATCGATCTCCTCTGCTTTCCCTGGTGTCGTCCTATTCACTCACTTTCAGCTGCACTCGCTTTCATCATTTGATTACAGAATAGCTGCAGCAACGGCAGCAGAGTCAATTAGCGACCAATCGACTGAACACTAATAATGATGGTGGGCCAACTCTTCTTCTTCTTCTTCTTCTTTCTTCTTCTGCCCATTATTTAGTGGATTAGAATCGGCCGAATTGACGATGCGCGCAGATCTTTTGTCTGCTGCAATATATTTTGCCAACAAAAGGCCACCTCGTACTTCATTGATTGTATTTGGTTCCAAATTGGCAACTCCGTTGTCGCATCAGGTTTCGATCTATCGATTCAACTCGCTAAAAATTCTATAAAGGGGCTAATCACGGATTTCCTTGCACTTGCAATTGACTTTGTTGCTGGGACAGTCTTTCCTGTTGAATTGACTCTCAATCTTTTCTTTTCAGCAGCAGAAGCAATTTTCGTTTCAATTACCATCACCGGCACCATCTGCATTGTCTGCAGTGCTATTGTTGCAATTGCCGGCCACTTTCTCTCTGCAACTAGGCTACCCCACTTAGCAGGTCTCTTTCTCTTTTCGGCTTGGCATTGCACATTATGGAAGCTTTTTGCCTTTTGTCCTGATGTAAGGGACAGTGAAGCACTATTTTTTCCTTTTCTCTAGTGACAATGAAGATGGCTTATTGAAAGTGCCTGAAGTAGTTATTAATCTCACTTTCACTTGCAAACAATACAGTAGCAATATTTCATATGCACTCCAAAAGAAGATTGATTCACTTAAATAGGAGGCGGAGGAATCATTTACGAATAATTGCACAAATAGAGAAGACATCGATTTGGATGAGAAAGACTATCAAAAAGAGAGAGTTGATAATGGAAGTAAAAGTAGCTGTGATCAAAGATACCTCTACAACACCACTGACCAACTAGTATCATCATTTTCATCTTCATCATCACTGTAAAAAAACTGAATATTACTAACACTACGCTGACTCAGCTATTTGTTGATATCAAGTAGTAGAGCATCAATTCTACATAATTGACAGCATTGATTGCTGCGTGCTCTGCATTTTTTTATTGCTAATTTGATCTTTACTGTCGATTACAGGCAGTCGGACAGACTGCCATTCTCAGTGGGCAGTGGTGATCGTGTGGAAAAGTGGTTGTGGTGCCTCACAGATCGATTTGACGGGTAATCACCACCACCAGTAGCAGCACTACATTCGATTGGCAATCTCAATTTAAGAGCACCTACACTGAACTATTGACCTGAAGCTGCAGCAGCAGCAGTAGCAGCCACAGGAGCATCAACAGAAGCAGAAAACACACATGCAAAACATCAAGTCACATTCACTGTTCAGTAAATCTCAAACTTTGTCTTGTTAGTGGACAACATAAAAACAAAGGCACAAATGGCAATTGTCAGTTTTGTGGTGCTCTTTTGGTCAACTTATCCGCAATAAGCAATCAGAGCAGGATTTTTTGTCGTGGCGCCCAAATAAGTGCACTACACATTACATGGCAAACAGAGGGAATTATTGGCCACTGCGTGTGTGTGATTATCGGCTGAGAATGGGTGTGCCCTGTGGTGATGCTAATGCTGGTAATGGCAGTGTTTATGGTCGTCGTAATGCTAGTGCTGCTGACGACAAATCTCTCAATGGAACAACAACATGCACTCAACTGCAGTAGCAGCAGCAGTAAATAAGTTGCAAAAAACAAGCAAGCACTTACCTCAACGCTGTAACTCTTGATGGAGAACTTTTTGGCACGGGTTGCAGCGAGTTTGTCCATCTTCTTGCACTGGGTTTTCGTTTAGCTGAGGGATTCAACGTCCGGCTGAGTTAACACTGATTCTTTCGACTGGCACTACCGACTGGCCAGGTTCCGTCTTCCTTCCGACTCAAACTCACCAGCTTGAGATGTTTGAGCAGACTCCACTCTTCTAAGGAGTAGTATCGGTAATACCCGCCTCTGTTGTTGGATCTGCCACACAATAGGGGCTGCCCATTTTCCGCATTGTACGGCCGCTGAAAGCAGCTTTTGTACATCTATGCAAAGATTCTATAAAGGAAGATGCTCACTAGTAGAGCACTGCTGTTGCAGCACTCACTGTATTTGCTGTAGATGCACTTTCTGCGAAAAGAGAAAAAATGGTTTTGCTTTTTCTGTAGTTTTTCTCTGCTTTCCTTTGAGCATGTTTGTTTTCTGACCAACCACAGCTTTGTCTAAATGCAGTGGCAGTCATGTATCGGCGGTTTTCAAAAATTAACTGCTAATACTACGCTCAATGAATCAATGCAGAATTAAGTTAGTCAAGAGTGAAGGAGATAGGATAACTTCCGTATTGCAGTGCGATAATCGTGCAACTGTTTTT